CTTGGGTTCCTGGAATCAGCTCCTCATTTTCCTTTTTCCCCTCCCTCCCCGCTCCCCCCTCCCTCATGAACCCTTAATAATTTATAAATTATTATTATATCTTATCTTACACTGCCCGGCGTCTTCCTTCACCCACCCTTCTGTTGCCCATCCCCCAGAGAGGAGGTTATACATAGATCCTTGTGATCGATTCCCCCTTTCTACCCACCCTTCCCTCCAGCGGTTTCTGAAATCTTTGTGAGAGCCAATCTCTAGATATTTTCTCTTCAGAATGACTCATGGCTCTGACTTGCCTTTTGGATAGCAGCTAAATGGTTAAGCATTGCACAACCAGGACTCCTTTAAATCTAGAAGAAACCTCTATAATTCGATCGGTGGCATTGTAATGTGAATAGACAAATAGTCCAAAAATAGATCTAAATATTTATGGGAATTTAGTATGTGATGAAAGTTCCACCACAAATTAATGGGGATATGCAAGGATTGATTTTTAGCATCTATTGTTGGAATAACTGGCAATATAGAAAAAGATAAAATTAGATTCTTTCTTTATATATTCATAAAAATAAGCTCCCAATGGATTTTACAGATCTAGATGGAAAAATAACACACAAATACTAGTAGGATATTTGGGTAGATTTCTCTTCAACCTTAAGGTAGAGGAAGGGCTTTCATATTATGACAGCAGAGGAAAAGATTGGTGATGTCATAAATTTGGCAAAAAAAATCGACAAAGTAAAAGAATTGGAATTGAAAGATAATGACATTTTCCCTCAAGAATGTTTTGAAGCCCCTCATATAATTGGCACACTGTGATATAATATTTGCAATATATACCACAAAGAGCAATTATCCCTATTATTTAAGAACCTTTTCAAAATTGAGGGAGAATGGGCCAAAACCCCAATCGAACAATTCTTTCAGAACGTTATCAACAATTCCCACAGGAAAGATATGAAAATACCCTCAAACATTAACAAATGTAAAACTTGCTCAAACTTTGAGAAATACATATGAAAATATGTATTTGCAAGATATTCTTATGTTTGCTTTTTTCCTAGTTTTTATTTTTTTTTAAACATTTTATTAGGGGCTCATACAACTGTTATCGCAATCCATACACACATCAATTGTGTAAAGCGCGTTTGTACATCATTCTCAAAACATTTTCTCTCCACTTAAACCCCCGACATTAGGTCCTCATTTTTCCCCTCCCTCCCCCGCTCCCCCCTCCCGCATGAGCCCTTGATAGTTTATAAATGGGTATTTTGTCATATCTTGCCCTGTCCGACTTCTCCCTTCATCCACTTTTTGGTTGTCTGTCCCCCAGGGAGGAGGTCACACACAGTTCCATGTAATCAGTTCCCTCTTTCCTACCCATTCTCCCTTTACCCTCCCTGTTTTGCCACTCACACCACTGGTCCTGTAGGGCACTTTTCCTAATTTTTCATGTAAACTTTTATGAACTTTAATAGCAGTTTGTCTAACTCCATAAAAAAGCTTGGTATTTTGGTTGAGATGACATTAAATTTATTATGAAAGCAGTTATATTACCTAGCATAGGGAGAAAAGCAAAGAGTAAAACAGGAACATAGTCAGGCGTATGCAGTCCATAGGTAGAGGTAGAAGCCCTAGTGTTTACAGAAGAAGATTCCGCGTAGTCGTGTGGCAGTAAGATACATTTATGTCAACTTGATGGTGCCATTTGTGGAGGTAGGGGCAGACCCCAGCCTGTTAATCAAGTTTCAGCCTGCTGATGTCTTCTGGGGTTGTGTTGTGATCTTTTTAGGGAGAAACTGGAACTTTTCGTCTCTCTCTGACTATTCACCTTCATCTTTGCTGGGACTCTGCCTCCAGGGCTGCCTCGTGTGGCCTTCCCCCAACCCTGAGAGCTGTCAGCATCCTGCCAGGCCCCCACTGACTATGGACCTATGTGTCTCTGCTGTGACACAGCTTGCGATTTCCCTGCTTCCTGCTTTACCGTTCAGCGTCATCGGCCTGCAGCTCCGTGAGTCTGAGGAGGGCTCCTCCAGCATTGGATGGAGGGACTTGCGTTGGACTGGGCTGTGGGGGGGCTTCTTAATGTAAACTTGCTTCTTGATATGAAGTTCTTTCTTGTACTAGATGAGTGTCGCTGGTTTGTTTCTCTAGACAACCCAGCCTGGCAGGTTAGTTATGCTGAATGGTATTGAGAGGTGTAATCAGATAACAAATTGTTGAAACATGAATCAGGAATACATTGTTATTAGGCCTTTCGGGAGACAAAGGGATGCAAAACCTTTAAGAGTAAACATGTCCTCTAGATGTTATAGTCCAAAAAGGTATATGGGACAAGTACCTTATTCTTTTATACTTTATGAAGATCGGGTCTTGGTTTGTTTTACTTATCTTCTAATTCTGTACTGAGATCTTTTTGTATTTAAAAAAAAATTATGTAAATCATTGGTTTTTAGTTTACCGAGGCTTTTTGTTTGTTTTGTTCTTTATTTTGGTGAACAGATTTATTATTGTTTTTTGTGGTTTACCCTGAAGTTACTTTAATCCTCTTAAAATGAAAAGGGTCTTGCAATCACTTGAACTTCCTCCCCATTCGAAAGCTCGCCACTTCGCGCTTCGACTTCCGCGGCTTCACTCTATCGCGGTTTTTGCGTAACAGCGCATGCTCTGTCATTACTGCCACTGATTGGCTCATACTGTACACGCTTGATGCCATAAATAATATAATAAATAATAAATGATAATTGTAACGTCCAAAATGTTTTACTGTATTTTCCCTTTTTCGTTTAATAAATTGGGTAATACGAGTGTAATGGTGACTAAAGGGTGTTTTTTCATGTCCTCTATGCTCTAACTACGAAAATATTTGATTTACAAATAAGGAATCCTACTTCGCGGAATTTCATTTATCACGGTAGGGTCTAGAACCGCGATAAACGAGGGTTCACTGTATATCTTTTATTTTTCCCTTTAGAGGTTACCATCATTTATAACTTAACTCCTCTGATCCCCATGGTCAGTTCTTTAGCTTTATTTTGCTTTTCTGTTGGCATACGGCTAATATTGCTATGTGTCTTTATCTCGGGTTGATGTCTGATGCCATTGGTTCTAGAATCAAAGAATTAACTCTAATAATTCTTCTAAGATGGGTGTGGTTTTTACAGTTTCTCTTGGTTTCTATTTATCTGAGAATGTCATAGTTTTACCATTGCTTTGAAAGATCATTTGGCTGGATGTTTAGCAGTTTGTTCGGCACTCTGACACCTCTTTGTAAACCATACTGTGCTTTTTATGAGCCATGTTTAATCTTAGTTTTTGGCTCTGGAAAGTTCGATTATGATGTCTTGATGAATTTTGGGGTGGACTCTATTAGGTATGGGGTTTACTGAGCTTGAATGGTAATCTTTTCTTTTATGGTATTTGGGAAACTTTCAACGTAAATATCTTCCCCAATCCCCTCTGTGTCCTCCCCCTCCCCCTTCGTTAATTCCAATTCTATGTAAATTATACCTCTTGATATTATCCTACACAACTTTTAAGCTTTCTTTGTTTTTCTTCATTCTATTTTCTGGCGGTTCCTCAAATTAGTAGTCTGTCTCACCAGTTCTTCAGTCCTACTTCTGTGTCTTTCGATCAAGTTCTCTATTTCTGATAGTTTATTTTTAGTTGTTGTTTTTCCATAATTTCTAATTGCCACCGAATCTTTCATTTTGTTCTTGTTTTCCTGAATTATTCTAGGGTTTCCACCCCGCCCCCCTTGTGTTTTCTTTGATCTCTTTGAGGATTCTGAGTCTTTTGAAATCCTTCATAGGGAGTTTCATTATTGTTTCTTCCTCTGAAAGGGTTTCTTTCCCTTTATTTCATTCACTTGCTTGAGCCATATGAACCTTTTCCCCATATGATTTGTTATTGTTTGCTGTCTTTAAAATATTAAGGTATTGTTTATGCATGTATATATGAATTGCATGTTTGTTGTGTCCTGTTTTTTGTTTGATTTTGTTTTGATACATCAGTGCAGGCAAGGCCAGCTGGTCCTGGTCTCGGGGCATGAGAGTACTCACTAACTGTTGGATGAATGAGGCAGCGATGGGCAGGCAGGACAAACGAATGTTGCTGTTCACCAGATGTGCAGGGTGGCTAGAGGTGGACTGGACAGGCACTGGCCACTGCTTGTTAGTGCATTGTTACCGAAACAAACACTTGATGGTGCTTTCGGGTGGTTGCAGTGGCAGGCAGGGGTATGGCAGGACACTATAGATGGGTAGGCCAGTGGAGTGATAAGGCAGTGTAGGGTGAATTAGAGCCAAGTGCTATGGCTTCTGGACCAATGGGGTAACAGGAAAGGACAAGGTTCACATTACTAATCACTATGGGGAGAGGAGGAGGACTTCGCCTGCTCCTCTGGTCACCTGGGTGGGTACCTGGGTACTGAGAGTTATTGGGACCTGGCCCCACTCCTGAACTGAGGGATGTTGCCTAGAATCCAGTTGGGTGAGGGGTCCAGCTGCTGACAGACACCCTGTGGATCTATGGTCATGGTCTATTATCTGTGAGTAGTCCGGTCTCTGGACTCTGACTCCCTCCCAGTGCCTTCGATCTGGTTCTTATTCTGCTCTCCTTGCTTTACTTGGATATGCCTACACAGTTTCTCTGTCTCCTTTTGGGACTCCCCTGAGGTTGTCGCCCTACACTCCTTACCTGGATTGCTGCTGGGTTGGTTGCAGTATGGTTAACACACTATGTGGGGCTGGCTGCCAGAGTACCTCCATTCCAGCTCTCTTCTTGTTTGCTGGTTTGGTTCAGTTCCTCCTTCTAGTTGGGGTTTGATCTAATTATTTTTCCTTCTGTTTGGTCAGGGTTCCAAGACTGTCATCTGTATCTGTTTCGTTTGGTTTTCAGGCCTTTACTGTTAGGGGATGGCGTGGTGTGTGTGTGTGTGTGTGTGTGTGTGTGTGTGTGTGTGTGTGTGTGTAAGCTACCGTCTTTGGTATATCCTATGTATGTTTGTTTTAGAGAAGGAGGACAGGGAGTTTATTATGTAATATCATAAAATAAACCATTTCAAGTATGTAACTGAGGGGGATTTAGTATTATCACAATGTGTGTGCAGGCATTTTTAATTTCTATAACTAATAGTGCACTATAGCTCTTGCTCTGTATCTCCTTTCCACTGAATAGTGCACATGAGGAATCACTGCATGCTCTTTTTGTAGTTCTTACTTTGTTCACTGTTGCACAGTGTACATTTTACTTATCTGTTCCTTTGAGATGAGAGTCTGCTCTGCCACCAGCTTCCCACTACCAGGCTAGCATTTCAGTTAAGAAGTATTTATACTTGATTTCATTTTGCCAGCAAGTAGAAATTGTTTATGGGTCTTGTGTGAAAAATTGATGCTGAATATTTGTAGTTTGGCTCATTATCAGAGATCTGGAGGAATTGACTCTTAGGAATTCTTGGATTATTACAGACTTAAGCGCTTGTCACAGATCTGGCACACAGCAGGCACAGGGTCAATGTCGGGTGTTATTGGTCATTTGCCTATAAACCATAGCTATTTCATCTTCTTATTTCCTTTGAAGACTAAATGGGGTTTTGTGGAAATGCTTGCCATTGCTCATTTGGCACCCACAGGTGGAATCCCTTGTATTGGTTGTTTTCATGAACTGAGTGTAAGCTCATAGATGCTTGCCTAGAGCTTACCCTCGCTTACTGTGCCTGCATATGTAATTCAAGAGTGTATTTAGATTTTATTTATGTCCGGAGAAGCAGAAAGCATACTTGAATTAAAATGGAACTTTCCCCCCAGATAGCCATGATGGTTACACAGACGTCTATCGTACCTTTTGCTCCCCTTGAGGATACGCTGGCTCGAGTGCTGTTTGGTAACCAGCAGCTTTCTGCATCGGGTGCAAAGAAAAGTGAGACTAAATCCAATGGCACTGAGTCTTCCACCTCAAAACCCACAGCCGAGGCTTCAGATAACCTTCAAAAGAAACACAGTAAGACTGAGTAAAGCTCTGAATTCTGGTTTCTAGAGAGCCAAAGGGGGGGGGGGGAATTCTAACTGTCAGATTTATATTTTTATGTAAATGATGTGAAATAAAGATTTTATGTAAGGAATGAAGGTGACAAAAAGAAAGAACTTTCTGTTTCAGGGAGATTACTCCTTTATGTATTGTAATCCTTGAATGCTGTGAGTGTATCATGTGAAATTGTTTTTCTATGTTAAGTATAAAAGATTCTATTGTGATTATAATAATTTTATATTGATAAAATGAGGTTAGCTTTTTAAAAAAATGTTATAGAAGGTAAACTTAACACCATTGAAAAAATTACTACTTTTTAATTTAGGTATTTTCCTATCTATTTTTATTTGAATTATAGTTTTAATAATATTCACTTGTACCTCATATTACAATTATACTTTCCTAGGTATGGAAAACAATTTCTATTAAAGTTTGAACACTCAAAATAGTAAACTTTTCCTAAAGCACTTTATATTATGAGTAAAAATGAATGCCTAGTTTATATTTCAGATATAAACTTTATATTTTTGTACATGTTAAATGGAAAATATCTGAAATTTAATTTTTTCTCGTAGCTTTCTTCAGTGAAGTGAAAATTAGTATTAGTATGAGTTTCAAAGTGAAGTCTATCTTATCCTCTTAAAAAAACAAACAAACCAAACTACTGTTTTTTTCTCCTCAAAAGAAAATCAAGGGTATACTTTTTAATAAATTACTATTCCCTGTTTTTTCCTTTTCTCAAACTTATTTTTCTTTCTGTTTCCTTGAAACATATTTGTTTTAGTTGTAGGAGAAATTATCCTCAGGGTTTCATATAATATTAACTTCACTTTGATCTTTGGGGCTATAAATACATTGGTAGTATTTATTATCTTAATGAGCAAACAAAATTATACTCATCATTAAAATATTTTCCTTCTTTGTCTTCTTTCTAGTGGGTACATTTCAATTTTCTATACACATACATATGCTAGTTTTATTTTAAATTAAATTTCGCTGCTTTTATGTGAAGATTCTTGGCTCTAACGAGAATTGTCCTTAGACATTTGATGATGAACAGCTAACCAAAAAGAGTAGAGAAAACAAAGCCTTATGTGGTGGTCCACTTGAATGAAGCGTGTCGACATCAAATGTATTCCTTATTGACAGAATCAAAACAAAGAAGGAAAGATACTAAGTAATGCTAGATTTTTATTCATTCTTTATGGTTTAAAATTCCAATTGTAACTGTAAAGCTCTGTGACATGATTTTTCCATATGAGCCTGCTACCTGCAAAGAGTAAGTGCCAGGCATTTTTAGATGGTTTAGAAGTATTCAAATTACATTTGTGTTAATAAGATTTTTTTTATTTAAAAATTTTTAACTGCTATAAAAACCAGCAGGTATAATACTTTCAGTTGTTTAAAAAAAGTTCTTTTGGAGGGAGGGGCTTATGTAGCCTTGAAATGCTAAGAAATGCATTTTTAATGTTGTAACAAAACACTAAGTATTTAAGATTTCTGTATTATATTTGATACTCTTTAGTTAAAACTTTTCAAAATGAATATCTTTTTAAGTATTGGTCTATTTCTAGATGTTTGAATTCAATTATAGTGAAATGGTAGTGATCCTGATATGTTTGTGTTGAAGACAAAATTATTAAAATAAGTTGTTTAGTACCAATAAAGTATTATTGTTTTTATTCTTGTGTTTTCTGTGAGTTTGGAGTTGAGAACTCTTCTACTTTTTTGCCTGCAATAGCATATATTTAGTGACTGTCCAAACAGATCACAAGTACAAGTTTTATTTATCTATACACACATCCTATAACTGAATTCACCGATTCTGAAACTTCCCACTCTGAATCTACTCAAATCTGCCTGCAGAGATTTGACAAACACCTTGTTGGTCTCCTTACCCACCAGGAGGTAGGATTATTTCGGTAGGCCTGCCTAACCTAGCCAGTCTTGGTGGCACTGAGAAAGTCAGGACCAGCAGATCTCCTGAACAAAGGAGACAAGCACTTGGCAACACCAGGGCCAGCTGAACTAGCGATCGAGTGAACTAGGAAGCTCGGTCCACTAGTGAAAGGTGGCCAAATGCATGTCAGACTCTTGGCTTATCAGATTGGTTGTTTTCCCCCCAGTATATCACCAGGTAAGGGCTGGAGAGATGAAATATTTGGGATAGCTAAATTCCAGTGAAAATTCCAGCTTCCTTGTAAACAGGGATTTAAAAAGCGGGGAAATGAGAGAAAAGGTGAGATTTTCTCTTTAAAGCATTTTTATTTGTGTGTGTGTGTTGGGGGGGTATGATTTTTTTTGGGGGGGGGGCGGGGGATCTTTAAGCCACACGCTTTCCCACAAAGCTTTTTGTATCTTTTGCCACAGGTATAAGTTACTTCCTTGGTGAGAACTTGTTTACTCAACAAATACTGAATGCCACTCATAGGCCAGGCATTATCTTAGGCTCTGAGGAAACAATGAACAAAACAAATGACTTGCTCTTCTTGGAGTGTATACTCTAGTAATGGGGAGACCGGCAATGGAAGAGACTACGAATGCTGAGATGACAGGAAGGTAAGTGAAAACACTGCTGCAGGAATGCCAGTTTCTGTGGGTACTGGTTCATTCCGGACAGAGCCCACTTAAGCACGTCTCTGTGTCTCAGCAGTCCACTAGTCTCCGTCCCTCAGAGTGCTTTCCAAACAAAGGCCCAATGAAAGTCCTAGCTTTCGAGGCTGTCTGTTGGACCAGGTCTATTCAAGGCGGAGAGGTTAGCTCAGAAAATGATGGTGGCTGTATTTTGGGACGCCAAAGGGATAAACTTTGTAGATTTTATTGAAGGACACAGGATGATCATGGGGACTTGTTATGAAGAAGTTTTAGGAAAACTGCATTGGTGAGAAAAACAGGAAAATTGCAGCGGGGAATTATGACAGTATTGCCTGCTCATTCTTTGAGGGGAGCAAGAGCTGCTGTCCTGTAACAATTTCATTGGCAAGCTTACGCCAGCCGCCTGCAGCCCTGCGCTTGCCCCTTCAGATTTCCTTTTGTCCCTAAAACTCGACATTTTATTTCAAGAACCACAGTCCTACTCCGACAATGGCAGAACGGCCATTTTGATGTGCTATAAAACCAAAGAGTGCAGGATTTGGGGAAGGGTTAGATGAAAACACATTCTTTAGAAAGGTGTATTGAGAACAATTGCCTTATGTTTTGAGATTTCTGTTTAATAAAGGTTTCTATGATTTTGTAGCACTGCTCACTGACTTATCCTCATAAGTAATAAATATCAGAACACAAGGAAGAAAAATGAGAGCTGGGGGATCCCTACTAAAATAGGATTGTTAGGGAATGCCTTTGTGTTAAATTTCATCCTAGCAGGGACCCGAAGTGAGCAAGCAAGCAAGCAAGCAATGTGATCAACTGGCTTAGTGCAACGGCCACACTGTTCCTTGTAAACGAGTTAGATTATATTTCCCTTCCCCACGGAATTATTGAACATGATTTTAACACCCTGCCCCACAGAATTGTTGAATGAGTTTACCAGAAATTATTTTTATTTTTAGGTAAAGTTGATAACATAAAATAACAAATCACAAGCATACATCCACTGAAGTTTTGCTTAATTGTGGTAAATGCATATGTAACAAAACATTTGCCATTTCAACATTATTCATATGTACAATTTAGTAGCCTTAGTTATGTTTATCATGTGGTTTAAAAATCACCATTATCTGTTTCCAAAATTTCCCATCATCCCGAACAGAAGTTGAGTGCTCCCTAAGTAACTTCTTCTTATCTTGCCCATCCCTGAGAACTACTAGTAGACTTTGGTGGTTTGTGGTCTTAAATCTGTAATTGATGATTTTGGGTGCTTTTGGTGTGTTTATGGTCATTAATATGAGGAGGCGTCAGAAAGTTCTGGGAAAAATGAAATTAAAAATAATGGAAGTCCCTCATAATTTTTTCTGTGTTTAGATCTGTTGCTTATATTTGATTAAATTTTCTTACTAAGTCTTAGACGTTCTTTTTGTCATATAGCTTGGATATAAATTTTTATGTCTTCTACAGCTATGCATGCAACTGCTGACCTGTAAATCTGTGGTTACAATCCCATTTGGTAATGGGCAGCCTCTGCGTTCTTCCCTTTGTGTATTTAACTATAATCTCTTCTCAAGCTGCTCTTTGAAAAGTTCTAAGATTTGCAGCCTCAGAACCATCAGGCAGTTCTGCTTTGCCCGGTAGAGTTGGTATGAATAGGATCGACTCGATGGCAGTGAAACTGACCAAACGCTGGCAGTGTGATTTTACCCAGTGCTGCTTCAGAAGGAAGGCCTGCGGGAGCGTGCGTAAACATGCCACTAAGAGCAGTGAGCAGGTCTACTGTGTAACACGTGGTGTTCTCAAATGTTTAACTTTTTATGGAATGACTTATTTTTAGTGGGGAAGAAACAAAGCTTTATTAGGTATATGAGTCAAAGAGAAAAGAGAGATAGGAAATGACTGACACACCATCCTGGCTACGTCTGACCGAAATCATAAAATTTGATAAAGCTTAACTTGTGGTTCTGGCATCATATCTAAAACTTCATCACTGAACACAGTGTCACATAGGTTTTCTCCTAGTAGTTGTATGATTTTGCATTTTGCGTTCAGAACAGGTCACAGGGGAGGCTTTTTCGGTCTAGTAGAGGAACAATGTTTCTTGCCTTTGGTAGAATTGAATCATATGGCCAAACCTAACTGCAGGGGAGACTAAGCTGTGCGCCCAGCAGAAGAGGAAATGAGTTTGGTACAGTGACAATCTCTGATCACAGCATCTACAGTCAAGGGACACTGATGAGGTTGTCTGGGGAGTAGGGATCAGGAGAGAAAGGAAGATTTTGCTGGAATTCATACAAGAGGCCACATTTCTGTTTTGAACTGTTATGCCCAGTTATGGAATGGAGGAAGGGACTCCAGGACTCCGGTGAGGTGAGTGCGGGGAGCTAACCCCACAAGGACGGGGCTTCCAGTACAGGCTCTAGTGATGAGGTTGAAGGGCAGTTGAGAGAAGGCTCCTCTGTGAGGGCTTGCCTTGGGTTCTTTATTATTGATAAACCCACTACCATCGAATCAATTCTGACTCATAGCGATCCCGTATAGAACTTCTGAGTCTAAATCTTCACCGGGGCAGAAGGCCTTGTCTTTTTCCTGAGCAGCAACTGGTGCTTTGAACCGCTGACTTTGGAGTGGACAGTCCACTACTAACACGTCTGTGGGTGGGTCTTGGCCCATTTGGGTCTGACTTGGCTCTGGAATCGTTTGGGGTTTGTCCTACTGAAATTTTCTTTATTGTTGCCTTTTCTACAAGGGTACTTCACGCTCTTCAAATAACTTAATTTCCATAGAAGTGGGGGTCCTGGTGTCTGGCTTCCTCAAGCGTTCTTAGCTGTTGGAAATTTACATTAAAATGACACTGGGGCTTAGTAAACATTTTGATGCCCCATGACCTCATTAACCATATTCTGACCCAGAGTTTAGACCTATAATCTGAAGGCTTTGAGCCGGAACATGAAGTGGCTTGCGTTTGCTGTGCTTTGCCGAGGTGACCAAAAAAATCTTAACAATTGTTTAGGGCTTTCCGAAAATTGTCTTTTAAGAGGATGATGGTGTCTAGAGATGTTGTTGGAACAGATGTCGTGAGAGACTCTTACACTCTAATATGCCCAGAATGCCTTTCCATCCCCCAGGCATTATCACGGAAAAGCTGCAGACACATTCATAGGACCACAGGGCGTTGCCTTCCACTTGACCCTTCTGTTGTGTTGATTGCTCAATGCACAGGGGTTATTAAGAAGCTGAAAGATTGTTATTATACTGCATTGTGGTTGCCTGCTATGTGCTGGCAGCTTTTTGGAAAAGGATTCAGGAAACCAATGTAGGTTAATGGTATAATAGGATGTCGAAGATTCTGGTCTTGGAATAAACAAGCCTACTTTGTGGAGCAAAGTATGGAATTGACAAAGAAGGCAATATATGAGGCTAGATGTAAAGGCATTACTACAAAATCATAAAACTATTCATTAACATCAAACTATGAAGCTGTTGTTTCTCAACATATGCAATATCTCGGTACAAAGTGGCATTTCCATCTCCCTAACCCTCTCCTAAGGAATTCTGTATTCTTTGAATTACACAAGAAACCACAATTGGGGCCTCCTGGAGGGACTTCAGCAGTGTTCCTTTTAAATGTTCTTTGAATTTAGGGGATAATGAGAAGTTCGAAGGGGCAAGCTCAGGGCTGTAGAGTGGATGGGGTAAAGAAAGGTTCCTTGGAGATTCTTGTAGAACTCTCCTCGAAGCAGGAGCACAGGTGCCTTGTCATGGCGGGGGAAAAATTCATTCCTCGGTACAACTTTCCTGGCCTTTCTCTCACGAGTGCAGGTCTTGCCATCTGCCTTCTTCACAAAGATGACAGCCGAGCAAAGTCCCACAGGGCACTTCCACCTTCACGTGGCGTTACCTGGAACTGAAACTAACGTGAAAGAACCAGCTCTGAGAGCACACAGCAACGAACACTCTGCCCCCGAGTCGATTCCAACTCCAAGTGACCCTCTAAGGGAGGGCAGACCTGCCCTCTGGGTCCCCAAGATTGTAACTCTTTACAAGGGTAGAAAGTCTCATCTTTCTTATGCAGAGCAGCTCGTAGCTTTGA